AGTTTTTTGTGACGCTTAGGGTAGATAGATAATGTTTGCGCCATAAAATTGGATCTTTAGTGCCCAACGTCCATCAGCAGCTGCTTTTGTTTTTCACCAGAATTTTTATTCATTTGAGCTTTTGTTTTGTACGAGATGCATATTCTGCACCAGGCACATACTCTGCACATATAATAATCTCATTTACAGCACACTTTCAAAAATTCCTACAAATCACTATTCAATATTCGATTCGATATTCGGCTTTTTGTAGCGTGAGCTACACTGGCCGAGGTAGAGCAGTTTTGCGTGGCTCGCATAATGAGCCGTGTTCCGTGCTGCGCATGCGCGCAGCACGGAACACGGCGCACAGCTGGCGTGCCGGAGCCGCCGTTGCCGCGTTTGCCTCGCTGGTCTGCGCATTCCAGAGGAGTGACGTCATAGCCGCGGCAGACGCACTGGCGCCGCCTCGTGCCCAGCTGTGCCCTCTGTTGCGCACTAGCCAAGTCTGACGCTGCACCGGAGCCGCTTGGTAGCGCCTCTCATTTTGTGTGCATAAGCTCACGCTACGCATATCCTGGCATAGCCGAGCTAAGCCACCGCAATTTTTTTTCTTAATTCAATTCGATATTCACACACCCCTACTTTTCTTACTACCTTCAAGAGCAAAAATGATGTTAACAAATTCAAGCAAATGAAACTACCTGACAGCACATAAACAATGCAACTGGTAACACAGCTATTATACCTTGACTAGTAATCACCTGTCAACTGGACATGAAAGCAGGCAAAAGGTGCAACTGATTAGTTATACAAATTGACAAAATTAAGAGCGTACAAAACTGCACATGTCTACAAGTCGAAACACAAGATTTTCAAAGAGGAGATCAAGCCCCATAGAAAGTGAAATTTTCATAAAGCTATTCCAAATATCAAAAAACAAGTTTTTCCCTGGAGCATGTCCTCTGAAAAAACACATGCAAAGGAAAAAAAACATTTTTTTTTAAACAGCTTAGATGGAAAAAGGACGCCATAAAACAATATTACAACGAAGAAAAAAAAATTCTTAGAGTTACATTTACGGCGCAAAACGAATTTGTAGTTGGCGCCCGCGGGCACCGCGGAAAAGTGGTCCTTATTTATCACGTGGTGCTTGCGTTCTTTCGGAAGCTTCCTATGGCCTCTAAAAGTAACTTATTCATCTTTGTTTAAAGTATAACAAAAAACTAAGATGAATGAGTAACCTTTAGAGCCCAAAGGAAACTCCTGAAAAAGCGCAAGCAGACGTGGTAGACCTGTGCGCCGGTCAGGCGACGGCGGCGGCGCCCCGAAGCAGACAAACTTGTGCGGCGGCGGCGACGGCGGCGTGGAGAAACGCGTTGAAGCGGCGTTCGCACAACGCTCCACGTGCGGCGGCGACGCAGCGCCAACTACAATTTCATATAGTGCCATAAATATAGCTCTAAAAATATTTTTTCTTCGTTGTAAAATCGTTTTATGACATCCTTTTTTCATCTAAGCTGTCTAAAAAAAATGTTTTTTTCCTTTGCATGTGTCCTTTAAAGGAACAATAACACCCCCCAAAAATTTTTTTTCCTTTTTTTGTCATTCGATTCATTATGATGTCGGAACACTACCCAATTAATATTTTGCTACAGAGTCACAAATTGTTTTAATAAAGGCAAAAAACGCAACTGCTCGAAACTCCAACCGAAACCCCCGCACTGCACAGAGAACTGGAGAGGATTCGCCTCGAGATCGAACCGTGTCGCCACCGTGCGGCCGAAATTGGAAACGCGCGAAAGCGGGGATACCGCCGTGCGTCGTCTGCTACGGGCGCACGTTCAGAAGCATGGATCTCGACGACGCAAGCCCGTTTCAGGCTGAGCTTGACATTCCTTATTAAATGTTTTGTTTTTATTGCCGTTTCTTCTTACTAAAGGTTGTTTTGTATCGTTTCCCTTGCGTAGAAATTCAGCAAAGCGATTATTATTAAGTCGGAAGCTTCCATAATCTTAGTGTGTTGGTTTGTATACAATCGCTGGTCCATCGTATTTTAGTTATCTCGCACAAACCGTGGCATTCATAAAGCATTGAATGATGAGTGGGTCTGTGGTTTGGTTAGAAAATTAACCCGACTGATCGCTATCCTTTAATAGACTAATCAATCAATAAATCCGTATGTTGATTTTTCTCCGGTCATATTGCGTGAAAGACGTTAAAAATACAGATTTTTTTACTGGTTTCACTATGTCATAAATGACATATTGCATTCCCATTCTAAACTTCACGTTGTGAGTCCTACATAAATATGAACACGGGGAGCCTTTTAAAATGAAGCATTTTTTAAAGTTTTTATTTAAACAGTATAATCACCCTCGGTGAAATGACAAGCACGCTGAAGTGGTTTACCGTGCAAGCCAGTGTCGCAAAAGAAATAAAGACGTCAAAAATATTAAAGCAGTCATTTTTTACTTCTTGTTGACTTTCTCCAGCGCAAGACTCCAATTAACCGGCAAAAGAAATTGCAATTAAAGCATTACTTGAATAATCTGAAAGTTAATCTATGAACTGCCACGTTAGGTGAGGGCGGAGGGTGATCGGAAAGTCTCTTGAAGGTCGCTAGCCCTCATCAGTAAAAGAGTATCACTGCGGCCGATGCTGTCTGTGTCGTGGTGCGCGTCGTTTGTTTGGGCTGCAGAGTCTACTGTGTTTGAATAGAAGATTATTTAGCCAGAAATTTATAGTATTGGCCTCTTGACATCCGCGGCCCTAACCAAGAAAATTGAAGCGGGTGAACCCACACTACCGAGAAAAGCATTTAATAACAGCAACATTGCTGCGTTGCTCGGTTATACCCGTTTATGACAGTCACGGCAGATGTATTAGAACAGTTTGTTTCACTTGTTTCAGATGTCCTGCCAACCGTGCAGTTTGCAGATCTTAACTAGAAGAGACACTCTCTCCTCATCGCAACGCAGTAGATTTGTTCAGACTCCAAGAAACGTACCCACACTATGGCACAGTAAAAGGGCAGAGGAACTCAATAGCATGGTAATTTCCAATACAGCGCTAACTTATCTTCATTTTAAATATTTATAATACTGCAAAAGCTAGAAGTTAAAAAAAAGCATAGAAGCTGCGATTTCACAGCCCACAGTACCAGTATTATGTTATCTGGGTTTGAATTTATTGTTTTTTTTTATTGCCACGTTGATGAACCGATACATCAATTTTAAAACAAACAAATATTTAACATAAATACTCCAGTTCAGCCAGAGACAGGCATCATTCGTGGTGATCCATGCTTTCCAACGTCTGCCTAGAGCAGACGACGCACCCACAGAAGCGATTATATAAATTTAGGCTGCACGCTGGCAACACGATTCGATCTTCACTGAAGCACCGAACAGTACCGCATCCTTTTCCGCTAAAATTGTTTTCCCACCGATAGTATGCGACAAAATAAACGCAAGAATCTACGCCGTCTCGCGCGCGAACGTGGAGAGCCTATGGGGCGGCCGTTCTCCTATCCCCGCTTTGATGATGATGATAGCGCGACCGTAGCGCCTCCTCTAGGTTGATCTCGAGGCCAATAGAGTGAGTGGCGGAAGTCACCTAACTACACCCAACCGTGCGTTTCTTTTTGTTTTTTTTCCCCCGCGCAGCAGACAAAATGCATTGCGGGATTTGTTTGCCGTGCGATTCCTTTGCAGTTATGTTTGTTCATATGTCATGAACAACTAAAAACCTCGGCGAGCATAATACCCTGTCAGTGTCCCTTTAAACGGGTCTTTTTGTAGTAGGGGGCGTTCGTTATAAAGGTGTTTGGTTGCACATAAAATTTCATGTCCCTGAAAGTAGGGCACCCAGCTCTCATGAAGAAGTACATTTCCAATTGCACCTCTACAGCATGTTTTGGCAGAGACAAGAGAGTTTAATACTAAGCTACAATAAATTAGCCGAGAAAGAATAAGTGTAGTAAAATCGTTTTTTAATTATTGTTAAAAATAATATTGCAACACATGTCCTGCTCGGCAAAAGTCCCTCCTCAGGAAACCCACATGTGTTGACCACGATAAAGTTTCATTAAACGAAACGCCCAAAAAGCTAAATGTTTGCATTTGACTAACATATGTATATTCTCAAAGTTAAAATGCGGGTTTGCAGGCATTGCCTTTTCTTTGGGTCGAAGAGGTATTTTGTTTTACTGGTGTTTGGTGTTTAATTGCAGCTTGTTTGCTGTAAGCACAGTACACACTTTTTAAAAAATCTGAGTTAGGACGCCCCCCTAATAAGATTGAAATAAGACTTCAGACACATAAATTTTAAGGTGTCTACATTACAACTTTTACTGTCTATACAGTTCAAGGACCCCTTCAGCCTCCCTTTAAGCCCAAGAGCCAGTTGCTCGCGCATTCAAAAAGCTTGCTGAAGCATCACAAAGAGACAATGGTGTGGCATAATCTGCTTCCATACAAAACCCTGCCCTAGGCAGCACCTGAACTGAGAGCACCGCCCATCCCATAAAGCCTACAACATTTTTCCCTCGCTACAAATCTTATGGAATGCAAGGACATGGGTCCTTGCATTCCATGGATAGGTTACTGCCCATGTTAATATTTCCTTCGTTAAGGTATAGAAACAAGCTTGCTCCGTATGTCGACAAAACAATGCTTCTTTCCATTATCTCCATACATACATCTGCCCTTCCTTGACACGTGCAAACGGAGGGTGTGCAGAAAAATCAAAGCTATCTGTTAACTCCCTTGTTCTGTTTCTTCGTAGGGCCGGCAATCGCTCGGTGTTTTCAATTTTTCGTAACGATACTTTGTTCATAAAGCGGGCCGGGTGAGGGCCAGGGAGATCATGGTACGTAACCGGCGGTGTATGAACCTCCCCAAGTTCCACGTGCGAGTCAGCCAGAAAAAAGAAACATCACTATTGTCCTACAATAGGAGTTAGGCAGACAGTATGGAGCAAGGCTGGAAGCTGAAAGCGGACGTTTCAAGGGTGCTTACCACGCTGGGCACAAAGGGCGGCTTGAGCTTCTTGGTCAGCAGGTCCTCCCAGTTGATGTTCTGAACAGACAAAAAACCCCCGGGTCCGTCAAGACGGCCAGAAACAGGCAGCAAGATTGCGGAAACGGTCAAACACCCTAACCGAGTCTCTTTTCTTCTCAAATTAATGGCCGCTGTGCGCTTTCATATTGATGTCAGCAACAACTCAAGAAATGGACCCCGCAGGAATGACACCGAGCTGTGTGGTGTTCTAGTGCAAACTGTCTCTTTTACTTGGCACGACCCACAACTGTCGTTCCCAACAAAGCTTGTGCAGAAAGCTGGTGCAGAGTCCTATACGGTAACTGGATGGTGTCCACCCTTTCCAAAATTACCTAACCATTTTCATCAAATGCACTGGTTCTGAGGTACCACAGTCGCCGTTGCCTGCTTGCTAGAGTCGAGCCCAGTTATATGGAATCCGGGTATCTGGAAATATTGTCTATTTCTAACAGGGAGGCACTGAACACGTGGTTTGCACACATCGTAGATAAATGGCTCTGGCCACGGAAGCAAAAGGCAGCAAAAGGTGCCTCGATTCTTTAAACCCAATATAAATAATATAAAAAAAGTCCTAGACGAGCGTGTTGACAACTGTTGTGCAATCCGCATTAAACACCTCCCAGTTGGAGAGATGTGTCGTCCTGTCCTCGTCATTTATGTAATTCTCCTCTAACACCGTAACTTCATTGGCACGCTCCATTTCTACGAGTATTTTTCTATCACTGGTTTTGTTTTTACGTTATTTTCTTCTTTTTACGAGTGCATTTACGACTGTCCTTTTCGTTGCTTGCCTATTTTCTACAAATAAAGAGTGGTTTGTTCAATATCTCGCTTTTCTAGTTTTATTTTTTTATTTTCCCGTTCTGTCGTCCGGGCTGCTGTCGTCCGGGCTGCCGAGGTCACGGCCCGAGACGCGTGGAGATTCCAATTCAAGCTCCAGTAAACCTACTTTTGCACATTGAATTATCGATATATTACACTATTCTGCCGTCGCCTTTGGATTCATTATACCCGGGTAGCATCGAAAGTCGTTGCAAAGGGAACAAATGTCGCAGGAGCTGGTGCGTCGTGCCGTTGGATGTCGCAATGCCGGCGGTTTAGCGTGACACCCAGTGCCGGGGGAAAAGACAAGTCGACGCAAGGACCGCCGCCGCTCCCGACTACTTTTGTTTCCGTCGACCGTCTGCTTGCCGAGCGACCCGCAGCGGGCATCCAATGCACCCACCTTCGCTGAGATTGTGACGGGCAACGGCGCGACGCTTCCAGGAGGTCTTTGGGTGGAAATCGAGGGAACGCTTTGCACGACGCGGTAAGCCCACCGGTCGAAGATGCGCTGCGGGCACCTTAACTTCTAGCAGCGGAGCGCTGCCATAGGCTCCGACTGGAGGTTGCTCCAACCAGGTTTGGGCGGAGGTTTCCGCTTAAATGTTTTCTGCAAAGCGTGCTCTCGCATCTAGAAAGCCGGCGCAGCTTTCTGTCCGCTCGAATTGCGCCACTTTCGGTTAGTTAAATTCGAAACGAGACAGAAACGCTCGGAGCCCCAATAATTGGAGCCGAGTTAGAACAGTTCTTTCACCGCAGACAAGCGTAACCGCTCGGATCGCCGTCGGCAGTCAAAGAATAGATTCTTCCGGCGGAAGAGGCCGCCGCAGCTTTGTTCGCAGTGACCGGCGTTTCTTCCTTCTCACGGTGAAACGACTCGGCAATGAGCGAAGTCGTTCCACCGGGAAAAGGGCGAGACTCGACGACGAAGCGTACAAAATGCTTCCGGAGGCGCCTTGTCCACACTCACCCTGAAGAAGGCTTGCTTCTTGACGTCGTCGGCGTCCTTCTCGCTCGTGCCCAGTCGCCTCTCGGGATTCTTCCTCAGCAACTGAAGGGAATGTCGCGCGTTTACTAAACGGCCCTGTGGCACGAGTGCCTACGGTCGAGCGAGGCAGAGTTCGGCAACGAGTTCCATCGGACGGGCCTTTAAACACCGGCAAATAGCGAAACAATGTTGGCCAACTCAAGTTAGCTTAAACTGGAAATGTTTTTCTTTATCACCCAGGGGTTCCATTTTGGTCAAGCTGAGAGCATCCTCGCCTGCTGATCGCAAGGACCAGTAAGAAGGTCTCACCAACATACAAATAGTAGTGACAGAGATCTCGCAGCCCCTGATGTGCTCTACCTTAGTACTCCTTCATCACCGGTCGATGCCAGCTTCCGTAAGGATAAGAACAACTTGAGATTTGTGAATGAAGCGCAGGTTGTCAATGACTTCCAACGTGAAGAAGCAGACAATCAAAATTTCAGAGTGGCTCTAATCTCACTTAGCTGCGGTGCTGGATTTGTAATGCACAGTCAATCTTTTTTTTTTTTTTTTTTCAGCGTGTTAGTAAATGATGTACAATGTTTCCTTTCCATCCGTGAATGGCGCTTTGTATCAGCCGAACCGCATTCTTCACGCTTGCTAGCATACGAACAGTCTACGAAGGCTATCTTCACTCGCTTTACAAAAGGCAATTTCGGTCTCGCCCTTGGGATGACCAAAACCGGACCCCGTGCGACTCTCAGAGTAGAGTCCGGCGAGGAGACTCATGAAGACGACAATCAGTGTGAGACGCGAAAACAAAGAGGAACAAGTTAAACGAGCTTGATCATGTCAACAAAGACTGGTAAGCACAGAATGTGCCATAGGCCTTTCAGGGAAGAAGAGAAGGGCATCCCAACGGCACTGCTTACCCGAGGTTCGCCTTCATTTCTGACACACGCCACGAGATGGCACTATATGACACGAAAGGTTGCGAAGCGCGCAAGCTCATTCCCGCGCGAATGAGCTCGCTCTTGCATGGTCCGTACCACTAATTCTGGATAGCCAAGTTGGCCAAGCACTTGGCTCACAATTTCAAGAGGGTGAATCTCCGTGAAATCTCGCCGGGGGACTAAAGTCGTTTTTATGGTCCTCTATGGGCCTAACATTTTTGTGCGTCGATCTTTTGTTACAACCAGCCGCTACAGAACTCCACGAAAATTGGCTGATAAAACACATTTTGCATTAAAAAGTGTAAGTAAACATAGGGATAATGACTTAAACAGAGAATGTGTTTTATCCATGGATTTCCATCAAGTTCTGTAACATCTGGCTGTAACGGCCGGCTGTAGCAGCCAGTTGTAACGAAAAACCTGCATTGAAAAGACCCACACAAAACCACATAAAAAGACCAGTTCCCCGGCAGGATTCAAACTCATTGCCCTGAGGTAGTGAGCCAAGTGCTTTGCCGACTGAGCTACCCAAGGTCGCTGGTATGGACCATGAAAAAGAGAGCTCCTTTGCACAGCGCCTGAATGAGCTCGCATCCTTGGTGGCCTTTCCAGTCACATAGTGCCACTTTACGACGCCTGTCAGGAATGGAAGCGAATCTTGGGTGGGCAGTGCCGTCGAGACTCCCTTCTCCTCTTCCTCAAAAGGCACACATTCTGTGCTAACCAGTCTTTGTCAGGATGATCGAGCTTGTATACTTTTTTACAGCAGAGCTGTTAAGGGCTAGTTTCCCCAGGATTGTTTCTGCCAGCAAACAAATGATCACACAAAACTCGGGACACAGCCACCACCATCTATGAGCGACGGCAGGGACCAGACAATTGGCTTGCCAGTTACCTGGGTGCCGCCGTCGCTCATTCATGGCGGCAACCTTTCCAGCCTTTCCACTCTCGCTTGCCAACTTGTGGCAGGCCAGCGCATGATCTGTACCGAGGGTTCCCAAAATTCCCTGCCGTCGTGGTGCTGTACGTTTTGCAACAGTTCAAAGACGCGAGCAACATCAGTAGTCGCCGTGAGCAATAGGCGAGCCGCCACAAGCCAACAAACTAAAGTAACCTCCGTTTTTTTTGTTTTTTTTGCTTGTTTGCGAGGGAGAGGAATGGAGGGGTGCATTGCGTTCCTCTCCCTCCCCTTGCCCAGCGAGGGGAACGCTACAGGCGCGATGGCGAAACCCGAGGGATGTGCGCGAGCGGCGGCCACGGCGGGGGGGGCTGTCGGTTGCTGCTGTTTCGGTCATTTTCGTGCACCAAAAGCTTTTTGAAACAAGAAGCGGCGCGGCTCTACGGCAACACCGGCTCAGTGATACGACAGCTTCATGCCCTTGGTAGGATCGCAAAATTTGGTCGCGAATGTACCGTATTTGCACGAATATAACGCAAGCTTTTTTTTCATAAATTCCGTGCTCCAAAACGCACCTCGCGTTATATTCGGAATCGAGTTCAGCCACGAGGCACGCGAGTCTGGAGGAAGCCAGAGGAAAAAGCCATCCCTCCGGCTCAATGCAAAAGACCCGGTGGGAGAAGAAGTGGGGGTGTGGAGGGGCATTTTCTAGCCATTGGGCCACGTGAAGGGGCGAATAGAAAACATAAAAAAGCATTTTTATCGCTTCTGTTTTCACAACGCGTGCACGCCGCACGCGCGCGTGCCATGCGGGAATGCGGGCACTCGCCAATTCGAGCCAAGCCAAGCCGGGCCAAGTCAAGTCAACACAAGCCAAGCCAAGACCACCAACCGCGTTTACGCAATCGTGCAACACGAGGCATTTGTTTACGAAGAGGGACCAGAACAAGAAGTGTGATCGTGTATCGGGTTCAGCTGTCTTTTCTCTGCCTGCGCATTGTTTAGTTTCTGCTCCAGAGTGGTCTGGTGTTTGTGTGTTGGTGCTTCTGCTTCCCCGCCGCGCCTTGTTTGGATTGTGGGCTGCCGAGGAGCTCCCTCCCACGGAAGAAAAAAGAACTACCAGACAAGCAGGTGCCGTGCAGCTGCATACCTGCGAAGTCGCCAAGTGGATTGTATACGGAAGGACCTGAGCAGTGAGGATGAGTGCAGTCAAAACATAAACTGATATTTCTTCTATTTCCATTGACTTTTCACTTCTGCTATGCCCCCGAGTGCGAGAAATTGACGCGGCATCGGTTCGCGTTATAATAGTAATAATATTTTTTTTTCTTTTTGGGGGCATCAAAAATTGCCCTCGCGTTATATTCGTGGTCGCGTTATATTCGTGCAAATACGGTAGGTCGAAATTTTTTGGTCACGATTATAGGTCGACTCCTAATTTTTGACAACATTAGCAAAAAAAAAAAAAAAAGGTTGACTTATATTCAAGTAAATTGGTTCATCTGTCCATGATGTAACATCTGTCTTTGATGTTACAGCTGTCCATGATGTTACACCTGTCCATAGCATTTCATGCGTACGTGATGTTAGTCCATGATGTTACATCTGCTCATGCTGTTTCATCTGTCAGTGATGTTACATCTCTCTATGGCCTTTCACCTATATGTGATGTTACATCTGCTTGTGACGTTACAGCTATCAGTGACATCCCTTTCCAGTATCCTCTCCCAGTCAGCAAACAAAGTCTCCAAGGGGTGGGGCCACTCACCCTCCTCATGATGGCAATGGCCTCGATGGACAGGAACCGGGGGTACCTGACCTCGTCGTGCACAATGCTGTCAAACACCTCTTCCTCGTCATCCCCCGGGAAGGGCGACTGCACGCAAAGGGACGCCACTTTGAATCCCCGTTGCCCCCCAATGCCCAAGGTTCAAACAAGTGTCGGGACAACAATCATTGACTCCTGGAATCTAGTTAAAAATAACAATGAAAAAGAAATTAAAAAAACAAACAGGAATATCACGATGTGTATATTATGCATTTGGGCATGTACTCAAACTCCAAGCAACTTCGTATTATGTTTTGAAAAATCTGGAGGCACTCCACAACCTTTCAAAAAGTAAAATATTGTAAATAAATTGGTAGCAAAGATATCACGCAGAAAACTTGTCTGTTTTATAGCATAAGCATTGCCACTATGTGCGCAAAGTTCGATAAAAATCCACCCACAATCAAAGAAGTTGCTGCCCATCCCCACCTCCTGCCTTAATTAAATCCAGGCTCTCTACACCGACGAAACACAAACTTGAGTGCTTTGTGTTTCGTGCTGGCGTCCGATGGCACGACGTGCTGGCTCTTGGGCCGTCGTTGTTTACCACTTTGGGGGCCCCTTGGGATGCATGGGCTGTGCAGATGCTAGACCACGGCCGGACTGGAAGCGCGCGCTCTCTTCCTCTTCTTACGGCCTTTGCGATTGGGGCAATTGCCACCTCAGGCTGCGTTTCGCGGGGGGCGCTGTCACCTCACCCCTGGAGGGGCTTTAACCCCTGGGCTACCATTTGCCGTTTGCACAGAGCGCGTCTGACAGTGTATCTTAGCGCTGTCGCAACTTGCGGCCGAGATGTTTATAGCCTTTGACACCTGGTCCTTACGTTTAGGCCCTCAGCCACTATCTAATGCGCTTCTGATGAGCCCTAAACGGTGAATATTTGACACACATCTCCGAGAGATTCTGGAGTAAGAAGTACAGTGTAGACCGCATATAACGTATGTCGCGGGAGTCGTGAAAATCCGCACTATAAGCGGTACCGCGCTATAACCAAAACATCAATTTTTCAGGCCAAAATACATACCATGAGACAACTTACCTTTCTAAAAGAATTTATTTTATGTTAGATGAAAAATAAAGCTTAGTTTCAGCAAAGTCTTTATTTCACCAGACTAGTACACTTCTCTCTCAAGTGTGTTACACATTTTGAAAGAAATGAGCGACTTTTGCCTGGCGCAGCCTTTTATCGGCGTCGCGGGTTGCGGACGGACGTTGCGAGTGTTCAGGATTGCTAACCCTAATCACTTTTCTCCGGCGATGAAAACGCGTGAAAATTCGCATCCTTTATACGGTACGTGCCAGTAATATCTTCAACTTGAGCACAGGCATGAAATGCTCCAAATAAGAAATCCGGGCGATGTTCGAAAACACGAATGCCTAGAAAGCACCACTGTAGTCGAAGTAAACAAACACGACGACACGGGCGTTTCTGCCATCTTGAGAGTGCCGCCACGACATCGCCGCACGAATAGGTGGATCTTTACTTCAAGTACGTGCTGGGTTATCATAGCAACACACAACGAAACTTCACAGTCAAGGATAGCGCTTTTACGCGGAACGATGAGCTTCCACCACGCCGTCTATGCCGACGATCACAACCGACGCCACTCAGTGACCGACGCCATGCTCGCGGATAGAAGCAGTCAGCCCACGACCGGCATGCAACGCACGCGAACACTTCTCCTCGACCTGTGATTGGTCTGTCGTTGCGGTTGTTTGTTTCCAACGCAGCGGAGGGACGCACGCACGTGAACGACACGTGCGTGTGTCCCTCCGTCGCTATGGCAACTGAAGCCTCTCTCTTCGCTTCTCCCCGCTTCTTTGAGCAACCTCCTTGCCCCGCGAGTGCCGCTTGCGGCTAGCGCCGTTCTCTAGTGTCGCACAGGGAAGCGTGCTCGCTGCGGTCAGTCGGTGCGGTCGGCGGGCTGTTCCAAAAACTGCACTATAACCGGTATTTCCCTTCGCGCACCTGCATTTTAAGCGGTATGTAAATACATGGAGTTCTATGGGAGGCGAACCGGTGGTTTAAAAAAGCCGCGTTATACGTGGTCCTGCACTATAAGCGGTTACGTCGTAAGTGGTCTATACACCAACTCATGTTTACAAATAAACCGGAGCGCCCCTAGCGGACGCCACCGGCGCCGCGCATGCGTGGTGGATGGTGGGCAAGAAGCTCGCCGTCGCCCATAAACAAACCATTGAATTGCATTGTTGTCGGCGTCGGCGGGAGTCTCCGTGCTCTTTTTCGCGTTGGAATTGTTGATTCTACGTCCTCCTAACAATGTCTGACTACTTGAGCGGCTGCAGCAAAACTAACGAGGCAAAACTTTGCGTGAATAATGTGACGTGCGGTGATTCATTTCACATGGACGCCGCAGAATGGGCGCTAAAGCCTGACTCCCACGATGAGATTCTGCTTGCTATTTTCAGCCGCGACGTCGCTCGAACTGCAAAAGTGTGGACCGTAGCTGAGATGGTGGACGTCGATACTGAAAACCGCAAGTAGAATCGGGCATTACAAGTCGGTGATTGCTACTGGTAACAATGATCAACATCTTCTTGTATCTGATCTGTTTACACTTAGCCTACTTACCTCAACCAATCTTCAAAAGTGTTTTGAGGCCTGCACTTACTTCTTATCGCAATTACCGGGTCAACATTTGGTTTAGAGGGCCGCTGTCGTTTGAACGTGCTGACGACAAAAAGCAGCCAAGTTTGAAAGAGCAGACGACAGTTCGAACGTTTGAGGAATGGAATACGAGCAAGAAGCACCGCGTCCCGCGTCAACAAACCATTCGAATGTCACGTTGTCGGCGTCTATGTGAGTCTGCATACTCTTTTTCGCTTTGGAATTGTCGATTCTAGGTCCTCATCGCAAAGTCTTACCACTTTAATCGCCTGAGCGAAATCATCAAGGCTCGTTACGCCGCTAAACTTTCCGTAAATAATTTGACGTACGGCGATTCATTCGCATGAACGCCGCAGAATGGACGCCAAAACCGTGATGAGATTCTTCTAGCTATTTTCGGTCACGACGTCGCTCGTGCTGCAGAAGTGCAGAAGGAAGCGGCGACGATTGACGTCGATACTGAAAATCAGAAGCGGGAACAGACCAAGCGTAACAAGTCGGTGATGGCCACCGGTACCAATGATCAACATCTTGTATCTACTGTTTACACCGAGCCTACTTAAGTCTTTTGAGGCCTGCAATTACTTCTTATTGCAAACTCCGGGTCAAAGTTTGGTCTACGGGCCACTTTTGTTTAAACGAGCAGACAACAAAAAGCAGGCAAGTTTGAAAGAGCAGACGAAAGTTCGAACGATCAGGCGGCCGTGTGAATTTGAAGACGCACTGAACCCGTGGGTGCTCCGGACAACTTGGCAGTTTTCTCTCGTTGATGTTGGAACAAAGCAAATACATCTGGCGACCACAAAGTGTTGCCCGCACACGCAATCGTAGTTTGACAGCGTCTGGTTTGCCCTTTCACGGCTACTATCCACGTTCTCGAACGAGGGGCAGAAACACATGAAAACTGATCTTAAAACCTTTCCAGACTTTCTTGGTACAGCCCCCGTCGCAGCATTTTGATGCGAAGGCAGGTTTTTTGTCTCGTTTCTTCCAAAAGAACGCAGGAATGCATGTCTGGCACGGCGACTTCTGCCCACCGCCTCAGACCGGAAGTGCGTCCGGCGCGCCACCACCGCGGCGTGACGTAGGCGAGTTGAGTTTGTGTATACTGTAGTAAGTAGAGACAGCGAATGCAATTGCGGAAAAAATATACTCGTCTTTACCTCCAGGACTTCTGTTGCAACTCAAGAACACGAGGAGACGGATCCCTTCTACGTGGCGGATCTTTAAATGATAAATAAGTCGTGCACTCTTGCGAAATGTAAGCAGGCCCAATCTATCTATTGCCGTGGTCTGCATCATCATTTCACAGGCCGCAGATTAAGTCGGTCAGCTGCTCTAGACGGTGGTGTAGTAGTCCGTACAATTTTCGCACAGAGCATATTACAGCCTAAAGTGCTTCCTCGTGGGCTTGTGCACATATCCAGATGATTTTTCGTTTCCGTCCGTAAGCGTCTTTGCATGGTTAATCAGAAGTATTCTGAGGAACTTGTTGCAAATTAAACCAGTCAAGCGCTTTGAGTGACTGTTGTCAATGCCCTCTGGGCAACTTAGAATTGGCGCGTCTTCAAGATAGGGTGCAATGAGTTGCAACCTATCTAGTTGCAGAACTTTGTGCACATTTGTAAGCGGAAGGTGCTTAACACCCTTTAAAAAAAGGCAACAATGTTGTCCAGAAGTGCGAGGAACCTAGGGTTTGGATAATGAAGTCCGCTTTTATCCTGGCCTTGCAATAAGATGAACAGAGGATCAACTCGTAGTCAACACAGGCGTCGCACCCAAACTCGCTAATGAGTTTCACCAGATAGCCACCGACATACGCCAGACCAAAGTTGCCAAAACAACAACCTACAAAGCTAGAACACCAGCGCAAAACAGCTCGAAGGGACACTATGAGTGGGGTGAGGAGGTTGCGCCCCCTGGCGGCAAGCAAGTGAACTACATACGGAGAAAAAATGCCCTTGACTCCCGGGTGATTGCAAAGGCCGTAAGAAGAGAAAGAGAGCGCGCGCTTCCAGTCCGGCCATGGCTAGACACACCGGTCGAAGATGGGTTCCAGACCCGGTAGCAACGCCATCCACGAGGATGCCGGCACCAGGACCCAGGTTAGGAGCGAGAGAAGCGGTCACCTCCCCGACGAGCATCTCGAAGAGCAGCACCCCGAGGCCCCACCAGTCGACGGCCCGGGTGTACGAGGTCTCCGTAAGCACCTCGGGGGCCAGGAACTCGGGGGTGCCGCAGAAGGTGCCCGTGCGGTCCCCGTAGCCCATGCCCTCCTTGCACAGCCCAAAGTCCGCCAGCTTCACATAGCCCTCTGCATCCAGCAGCAGGTTGTCCAGCTTCAGGTCCCTGGGGGGACACCGCGGGTGGCTCAGGACGTTCCCCGGTGGGTATTTTCCAGTGGGACAAACAACAAATCAATGAACAGTTTTTTTGTGCTTTTTTCTTTTTTATCTAATGCAGGTATTCTCAAACTCCGCTGTCTCGAGGAACGAATAACTCTCGCTCGATAGTCAAGAAAACCCGCCAGGACTCGCCAATGATGCAATCAAGCGATATGAAAACCTACGGACATTGTAAGCAATAAAGCACACCTCAGGGAGAGAGTGGAACTTAGTTGTGCGTCAATGACTGGCTCAGATACCCTAGAACTTTAAACATTTCGGCTCAGGGGCCGGATCGGGAATCTGTCACAGTCTCGAGGGCCGGAAAATGGACAAGTAAATATAAATCAGAAAATACTAAATGTATAGACATGAATAGGCATATAAATACAAACAAATTGTAGAGCTTTTCCACTTCACGTGAAGATGAAAAACCAGCGGAGCTGTTGTTTTTATGACGTCTAGGACAATGCCTAGAGGACGACGTCTACGACAACCTCAAGTACGACTTCTAGGACGACCTAAAGGATGACTTGTAGGACAACCTCAAGGACGATGCCTAGAGGAAGACCGCAAGGACGACTTCTAGGATGACCTCAAGGACAACTTCTAGGACGACCTCTCCAATTACTTCTACGATGACCTCGAGGACGACTTCTAGGGCTACCTCGAGGGCAACCTCTAGGACGACCTCAAGAATGACCTCAAGAATGACCTCGAGGCCGATGCCTAGAGGACGACCTCTCGAACGACTTCTAGGACGACCTCAAGGACGACGGCTAGAGGATGACCTCTCGGACGACCTCAAGGATGACTTCTAAGATGACTTTGAAGACAACGCCTAGAGGACGACCTCGAGGACAATGCCTAGAGATGATAACAAGGGATCAGGTCCTCGCTATCTAATAATGCAGAGGAAGGCTGACTCACGCTGGTTGCCCCCCCTTTTTATTTTTATTTATTCGTACTTCCCACAACCAACACCTCCTCTAGGTAATGCCTGTCACATGAGCGCTTTCCCCCGGATTATGCCCTTTCCTGTTACCCTCTCCCATTCGCTAGAGTTTGCCGTTTGAGGTGCTGGCACCTGACACTCACGGCGGGCAACGCGTCTTATTTCCCGGGCCGGGCACGCCACCGTCAGCACCGCTCGATTGTCGCACGTGCATCGGTTTCATGATGTTTTCCCCTTTATTCTGTCACTGTTGGAGCGATGTGTGGCCGGGCTGCGGCGCCACGTAGCGAGAAGCGAGAGAAGCGAGGCATCTGCCAATACCCATTGTTAAAGGGGTACTCCACCGATTTTTTGAGCTACCTCAACTAACTATATTTTCTGACTCCCCGGCCTTTAGCCTTTCCGGTATGCTATTTAGCATCGCGAAATTCATAATAGGTATTGTGAAATCGGCAAATGAAAATGGTGCAAAGACCAATATTCAAATATTCGCACACTTTTCAGTGCCGTGACGTCAGTGGCAGGCAGGCTTGCCAGTCGAGCAAGTAGTCTAAAAGTAGAATATGCCAATCATTTGTTCCGTGCTGGAGCGCGGATACGGGAGCGGGCTTCCAAAGCACTCATTTGACACCAAGAAACTGCTTCAAATCCGTTGGGAACAGCTTCTGTAGTCCAAAAAGTTAACCCCTGCCTTGCACTGACGTCACTTTGTTGTTGTTGCCAGTAGAGACTTTCAGTTTGAAAAACACGGTGAAGACCAAAACAGTAAATTCAATAACTTCACGAAAAAACAATATTTTGACCTAATATTTGGGATACTATTTTCGCGATGTTTGTTGGTTAGTTTAGCAAAATTTCAAGCAAATCGGAGGCAATGAAAAAACCGGTGGAGTACCCCTTTAAGCGCACAACCTGACAAGCATTACCGTATAGAGGAGGTGTTGCCACAACCAATGGGGAGTTTTCTGTGAACATTCGCGGACGCATTTTTCCCCAGATCCTAGAGCATAACAGCTTCGCTGTAAAACGTATAAAGTACTCTATTTCACTTTAAGAGTGAGCTCCAGGCTCTCAGCATCCCTGCCAAGCACGCGCGCTCGTGCAGTGCAAGCACTGTTCAGAGCCACATGCTCGTGCTTGTAGCTTCGGCCTTGCTCGCACTTAAAGAGAAACGGAATATAGAGGGTTAAAATAAAAAAAATGTAAGATGGATACTTTATTTTTAAATTCAATACATTGCTAACTGTGACATTGCAAAAACTAACTGTGACCCAGAGAAGTCACCAGGCATAAATCAAAGAGGAACTTTGGCGTATTCACGGAGAAGACTAATGACACGGTACACCCGATGATGACAATATGCACTAGTTATGATGTGACTCTAAGCACAACATAAAGAAGAATGCAAAGAAATTTTAACGCAGTTACACAACACAAAGCGGAGGACTATGAATGGTAATGGCAGTGCACGATGAACGATAAATATTATGGCAAGAGCCTTTCAATGCAGCTTTTGCTCCTCCTTTCTGATACCTTTGTTTGCGCTTTTGAAGCATGTCTGGGTGTTGTTTTGTTTTACACACTTTTTTTCTGCGCTGGCAGCAGTGGGCCGAGCGCACTGCTGCAAAGACTGCGGCCGTGTGCGGGCAAAAAGAAAAGGCTTAGGCGGGTCGGATCTGGCCCTCGGGCCATTGTTTGAGGACCCCTGCTCTAGAGCATGGTTCTTCACCCTTTGGTGGTCACGCTTTATTTTCCCAAAAGATCTTTCTCAGTGATCGTTTTTTGTTTCCAAAGTGATAGTATAAGAAAAGGGGTCAATGCCCAGCTCTTTTTCTAATTATCTAGTGCGAGCACGTACAGCGCTTGCACCCTGCAGGTTTAGAAGCATCAAATGGAAATCTAGAAGGTGAAAAATTGCCACTTTTCTTCCCTTCGTTTCATTTTGGCACGTCCGCTTCCGCGACATTCTGACAGTTTCACATTTCGAACCTGAGGTACTTTATGTAGCTTCTTCATCAGATGGTAAGCTCTCACACTTTGAATACCGAAAAGCATTAAAAGTGACTCGGAAGACACGGCGCTTAATCGCCACTACCGCCATCGCAACCGATGTGCGAAGCGACCATCTCACGTGTATCACGTGTGTGGGGCGTAGAATTTCAAAAGGATAAATGTACCCGTAAAAGCAAAACACCGCGCAGATGTAACATTTAAAGTTTTCCAAAGACAAAACAAATAGCAACGCGGTGTGCACGGTTTCACATTTAAGCAGACAGTTTCAAATGTGTAATCGCCGCCATACATGTACGGCGATGACCGTAAAAAGATTAAACTAAAGCTTAATCATGCTGACAAAGACTGGTAAGCCCAGATTGTGCGATAGGCCTTCCAAACTAGAAGAGAAAGGCGCCTGGACAGCACCACCTAACAAAGATTCACTCTCATTTCTGAGACGCGCCGTGAGATGGCACTGCACGAAAGGAAAGGCAGCAAAGCTCGCAAGCTCATTCACGTGTCGCGCGGATGAGCTCCTCTCGCATGGTCCGTACCACTGACCCTGGGTAGCTCGGTCAGCAAAGCACTTGGCTCACAACCTTGAGGCAATGAGTTTGAATCCTGCGCGGGGGACCGGTCTTTTACAGTGGAGCTGTTAAGGGCTAGTTTTCCCAGGATCGTGTCCCCCGCAAAGAAATGTCGACACAAAACTCTGGACCGTTACCGCCATCTATGAGCGACGGTGGCAACCAGACAATCGGCTTGCCGACCTTGCTCATAAATGGTGACAACCTTTCCAGCCTTTCCACTCTGGTCTTCATTAGAGTGGAAAGGCTGAATTTCTTCAGGCGTCGTCCTAGATGTCGTCCTAAACGTCGTCCTTGAGGTTGTCCTCCAGGTCGTCCTAGAAGTTGTTCTTGAGGCTGTCCTAGACGACTTCCTTGAGGTGGTCCTTGATGTCGTCCGCTTCTCAGATATATTAAAACCTAGAGCTGTTTTCATTGTGTTCCCAGCCACATGTAACAGAATTATGTTAGCCGAGAAAGCGCCGTCACGTTCAAGTGTGCCGCTTTGCTTTTATTTTTTATAAATTACAATAAACACCCTAGCACGAACCCCGCTGCCGGTGCACCCTTGTCGTTGGGTTTTCGGCGCTGCTTGGAAAGTAACTGCGCACTCATTAGTCGCTTTTCAAGTACCACCTACGCATAAGCATCGCGACACATTATTTTGGTTACAAATAGACCACTACGAGCGTCTGCGGTGAAATATGTGCGGATTCGTTGTTCGTTTAAAAAACAAATCGTGTAGTTGTTGTTTAATACTTGGTGAGCATGTTTCCTTTTCATAAAATCTAGACTGGCCACGCATAGTTGCTAAAGGCCTAAATCGGTACAAACACTCACTTCCAAAAAGCTACCACAATGGCATTCCCTTTTCACCAGAGATGATCAACCAATCAGTGTAAACAACTTGTATTCACTTTTCTTTTTTAATTGCGTGGCAGGTGACAGCAGGATTGTGCTTGGTTAGTCTCTTTGTCGAGTATAACATATTACATTAACTTACACATCTAAACCTGTACAATGGTGCCTAACATTGCCGAAATGACTCAAGTTTCTACTGCGTTTGCGTGCCACCTGGTTGTTAGGTACTCTACGGAGCACATGACGCTCCGGGGTGAGAGGAGAGAGGACATTTCTACCTCTTTCTAGTGGAATGGTCCTCATACTGGAGACTCCGATGCGGACAAACTTTTCCTGGAAAAGCCAGAGGTTCCGCCGTAAATCGAAGACTGCACTGAGGGCATTTGCACATCCTTCCTCGCAACAGATGAGGTGCCAAAAACACAAAGATTTTCTAGCATGGACCAAACGGCGAACCTCAACCTTACAGACGGGACGGGGATGGCAAGGCATCTCTCTCGTGCCAGAGGACGGACAGCCGAGGGATCTCCCCGCCGTTCCCGTCCCTTAGGCGACCACGCCTGTCGCTGCCGCCACGCCTGTCGAGACGGGAGTGAAGGGGGCCCACCGATAGATGATGCGGTTCTCGTGCAGGAACTGCAGCCCCAGCACCACGCAGGCGGCGTAGAAGGCCGCCCTGGGCTCGGGGAAGATGTCCGTGTGGATGTGCATCATCAGGTCCCCTCCGCAGGCGTACTCCATCACAAAGCACACGTGGTTCTGCGAGGCAACGCCGGCGCTCAAATAACTGGGGGCATTCACAGAACTCCTCGTGTCAAAAACGGGACAATGCCTCGTTTTGTGTCGCACCGGGGGCGAGGACCAGACAGAGAGAAGGGAACTGCTCCTCGATTCCCTCTTTCCATTCGAGAAAGACCCCTTCTCGTTGGGAGAGGAAGAAAAAAGAGGGCAGATGAGAAAGAAGGACTCTGGGAAAGCAACAAGACGATTCTGTAGGTCAGCCCTCGGACAATCAAAATGTAACGCCGCAGCCAATTAAGCCGGGTGTTTGCAACCACACCTCACCTCTCGTAGGGATCGGCAGAAACTGTCCAAGAGGTGCGTCACAGCGGCACTGGAAATGTTAATGTGCGCGATATGCTACGACAAAAGTGACAGACACAAAAAAGCAAAGCGGGGGCGACGTCCTGGACGTCACGCGATCGTGACGCAGGATGCAACCTCCTGCCTCCTGAACGCGACTCAACGTCGAATGGCAGACCGTGAAGCGGTGGTTTCAAAGAAAGCCGTCTGCACTCACGGGCGTCTGGAAGCAGGCGAACAGGTTGACGAGGAACGGGTGCCGCACCGAGTTGGCCACCTGGAAGATGCGCTTCTCCGCCATCAGGCTCTCCAGCTCGTCCCGCGCGACTATGTCCCCTTTCTTGAGCGCCTTGATGGCAAAGTACTCCCCGCTGCGCTTCAGCTTGCTCAGGATCACCTGCACGGGCCCCAGTCCCTTCCTCATCCGCCCCACCGATGCTGCGTCCCAACTCTCGAGCACGTTCCAGTTAAGGCTCGTTCACACACCTACTTGAGGTCTTGAAAGCTCTCTCTTACGACAAAAAATGCACTGCTGCCACCTACCAGGGAACACTTGGCAGTGCGTATTTTTTTCTTGGCTCGAAAAACCTTTGCTAATGTTATTAACAACGTCATATGTAGTATGTCCCTCGGACCTCGCTTGCAAAACCTTCACTCTAGTGAAATGCACTTCCAGGGTCACCGCATAGATGGCGCCAGCATGGACTCTCGTCCAAAGAGATTTTAACCCCCAAACTGCACGTCTTTAGACTTGCGGAAATTTTGACCGCAGCTTGGGTGGAACGTCTATGCAGAGTTCGTCTGCTTCTTTTGCAGGGGTGATGTCAGAAAGACGCCGAGCTCTGATTGGTTCTGGAACAAGGAGAGTGGGCAGACCTCAAGGAAGCCTGAGGTCTACACACTATCCTTCAATCAGAGCCAATCAGAGCCCAGCATCTTTCTGACGTCACCCTGCGCAAGAAGCAGACGACTTGCTCTCTGCATTGATGCGTCGCTCTTCAGCCAATCTTGGGGACAGCCTCTTTAAATGCTCACTTTTTTTCGAGCGTAAGGAAGCGCCATCTATCCCCAAACGTCGGAAATAATTTTGCTTCAGAAACCAGTGCAAGGATGACAGCAACAAAAAAGTTTGACGAGATACACGCGGTACCAAAAAATATTGGCGAAATGGTCAAAATGTTGGCAAAAAAAGTCACCGTATTGCTTGTATGTTTTGGTCATGGGAGTTCCCAGTTAAGAGGTTCAGAGGTTTTCAGGTGCACGGCCCTAAGAAGTCCTAAGTGAGTGAATGGGTCTTTACTCCCCACATGATAACACATACAGAGTGACACTGGATGCGGTGGGTTCGCTCTTTTTTCCCGAATCCCACACTTCTTTACCGCGGTCCCCCCAAAAATGTATCAATAAGGTTCTACTGCACGTTTTTTAGGCACAACCCGTGCCAGCTGCAGGTCGAGCATTATGGATATTTATGGCTCCTTCTCTCTCGGGTTCTCACGGTGCAAACCCGTACACAGGGACGAACCCACCTCCAGGTGCGCCAAAGTGCACACAAGCATCGGGTGTTGTACCAAGCACAAGTATGACATTAATGTGGCCACTTCGCACAAAAAATTACAGGACGACGCTTAAGCTTCGCCTTTATGAGTGGAACGCGACAGTTAAACATGTAAACCTCCGCTCGTCCCCAAGCCGTGCTAGCGTGCCTGCATGAACTAGTCAATAGCATGTCTGGCTCGCACTGAGGGGTCATGGGTTTCAAAATTTTTTCTTTAAGGCAAATGAATTACTTCATAAAGTGAAATCATCCGAGGCACGCGGCAACCTTTAATTCGCATAAGACGTCACGTTTTAGTTCCTTTCAATCCGAGCGCACCGTCACATCTCACGTGAGCGTTGTTTGAAATTCCCGCCAAGGTCATGTGGCTGTGATATCATGACCCTATCGACCAATCCTGGACTTTCCGGTCCCACCAATGCCGGCTTTTCTGTGAAATGAGCTCCTTAAAGCTATCGCTTTAAAATATAACAAAAAATAGGCTGCATGTTCAGTCATTCTGCCAAATGCATTTAAATGCGGTAGCTTTATAGGGTGGGTGGTGCTGCAAGTTCGGATGGTGCCCAGGGCAGGCTGACCCTTAGTCTTTCAGTGCCTGGGGTACGTGGTGTTCCTTATTCAAGTGGTACCTAGGGCAAGGTTTTACAGTCGAACCTCGATATAACGAAGTTCAATGTAACGAAATCCTCGATTTAACGAAGTATTTTATTTTTCATAATTTCTTGCCCATAGACCCCATGTATTTTTAGTTCCTATATAACGAAGTCTATTTTGCTGATATTTCAATATAACGAAGCGCCATTGCCATAGAAGGCAATAAATAAATCAACTCTAAAAAAAAAAACTTCGGAAAAAAATTGTGGTTAAAAAAAAAAAATTATGCGCAAACGCGAGCGCTTGATAGGTTACTTCACGGGGACAGGCCTTCCAACGTTCCTAGGCTGCCCGAGGATGCGGCGCCGGTAGCGCCGGCGAGGCATGCGGCAAAGCGGATTCCGCGAGGCTGGCCAGAAAATGCCGAGCAAAAAGTTAACACGGCATAACAGCATCACCACTGACATTCACTGATCATCATAGTCCACTGTACCGCGGGTAGCGCGGGAGCCAACTTCAGCGGGGGAGCGACGTGATGGCGCGACCGCGATGGATGGATGAATACGGCTGAGCCAGGGCTGAGCCCTTTGGATCGGGCGGTAGCGGCACTGCCCGCGCGACCGCACGGGCAGTGCCATCTAGGAGAAGACCGAAAAGACCGATTATCGTCTTGCGAGCGTGATGTAAAGCAAAGGCGCAAGCACACTGTGGGTGCTGTGGGCGCAAGGAAACTGTGCGGTCAAGAGTGCTGTGCTGTGGTGCTGTGTAGGCGTGTAGGTTGGAAACATTGGCACCGCCTGGGAGGCACTCACTTGATCGAATGACGTTTTAGCGAACGCCCACGTTTCATCGAACGACACTTTAGCGAATAGTCGGACGCCGCGAAGCGGCGTTTTCGGGAGGGCCAAGTGAGTTTATATTTTTGTAATGAGTTGCCGTAGACTGTCGCCGCGAAGCGGCGTAAAGCGCAGCGCGACGGATGGGTTAACGCGCGCCCCCGTTATTCGCTAAAACGACCATTCGCTCAAATGTCGCCGTTCGCTAAAATGTCATTCGCTCTTGTGATATGGACCCGCCTAAACTAAACAGCTTTATTTTTTAACCGGGCGGTTCACTCACGTGCTTGCTGCCATAAGGAAACGTAAAGTTCTTTCTTTGGATGAGAAAGCAAACGTTTTGGACGCCATCCTGAAGAAACTGCCGAGATCACGAGCACTCGGGAAGTGCTCGACGCAATGGACGTTTTGAGGAGGTACACGGCGTCGCATGGGCAGCAAGATGCCGTGCAAGCGCTCTGGGCGCTCGAACGCCGTTTGACGCCGCCGACGCCGCTGCTACTGTCGGACAAGGCGCAAGCAAAACTCGCGGACTACTTTGCCCCTAAATAAATGTCGTTTTCGGTGAGTTTTCATGCCCGTAAAATGTTTCGGAATTTTTTTTTTTTTCGCATGCTAAAGCCAAATTTCGATTTAGCGAAATTTCAATGTAACGAAGTAAATTGCGAATTTTACCGACTTCGTTACATCGAGGTTCAACTGTATATGGAAACAGATTAGGTCACACCATGGTCCCTTTATGAGAATGCACGCGCTTTCCTTAGGCCTCACCCGGATACAAAGCCTTTGCGCTGAATTCTATGGGTCACCGAAAGAAAGGAAGTGTGCTTTCCCGCCCTTTCCTCTCCTCGTTCCACACGCTCTTTCTACACCACCTGTTTCTACTCCTCTTTCTTGCCCTTTCCACCCTTCTCCGTTCCGTGCGATTTCTCAAACCACCTGCTTCTGCTCCTCCCATTCCTGTGTGCTGGGTCCGTAGCTCGTGCAGCAGCGCACTCGGCTTCCACACTGGTGACCCGGGTTCAATCCCTGGCACCGGTTGCCGCTGTTTTTTATTTTAATTTCATTTCATTTCATTTATCTTTTAGCAGTTGAAAACTGGCCGACCTGCACATTTCCTGCTCAAGTGGCTCCTGAGGATGGTTTAAAAGAACAGTGGCTGTTTAACCAGCTCATGACTTGACGCACCACATGCAAAAAAAAAGACTAAAAATTTTTCGTAGCTAGATTGTATGCTGTAGAATCACGATTCAATCCCAGTCGATTCCTATCCCAGGACGAAATTGATATTTTAACGTTACATTTTAAAATACAGTAAAACCTCGTTATAACAAAACGGGATATAACAAACTAATGGGCATAACAAAGCAATCATAATTCCCCTTGCTTGCTAATAGTGGGAAGAAATGGACATTGGCTATAACAAACTAATGGTTATAACGAAATAATTACGACCGCTCCTTCAACTTTGTTATAACGAGGTTTTACTGTAGTGCAAATGCTCTCTCGGGCCACAGAGGATGATATCAACAAAAGCACAGAGCTTGGGGAGGTAGGGCTCCCGATTTTTTAAATATCGAGGGACGTAGAGGAAACTAACATTGCGGCCCCAGCGAGTCTCCTGCGCACGATGCTCCCTACCACTGAGGCGGCTGTAAAGGTATTTGAAGAAAGGACACCTTGATGAAAAAACGGTTGAAGTGCAGGCGAGCGGGTGGATGTTTACCATGATGGAACTTAACCCGAGACTGGGGTAGAAACAGAAACTTAAAAGTAGAAGGGACAGAGACAAGTGAAGAAGAGAACGTCTCAAACGCAGCTAAAAGATTTATTTAGTCCCACATCCTTATATACTCACAACCACAAGGTCACCCAAACACTCAACACGCCCCTTTCAAAGACACAATACACCAGGAGAAAAAAACAAAAAAAAAAAGCAGGGACAACAATGCAAGGGGACGCCCCCTCCAGCACTACTACGAACAGGGGCAAACCATCCACTTCTCCGGAAAGAAAAACTTTTCCTTTTCCCTTTCCTTCTTTTTTCTCTTTGTGTGTCACTGACACTACACCCACGAACCAACAAAACCCAAAACTTGAGTACAAAGGACAACCATCTCCGCAAACACAAAGAGAACTGGGAAGAATATCTCCAAACCGGAACGAAGGACTCACTCTAAAAAACAAATAACCACTTCACCCTTAAAAAAAAAATAATCTGTTTACAGTCCCAAAAATGCTTTAGGGCATTGTTTCCCAACTGCAATGATGCCTGACTTATACAATTACCGACTGATTTAATCCGAATGGTTTCCCTTACCAGTCTCTTACTGTCATTCACTTCTTTATGTATTATTTCCGTCTCTGACCACAAAGGAGTGCAATTGTTACATTCATTTATGTGCTTAG